CCCCCCCCCCACCGCCTGGCCAGGGGACAGCGCCCCGAGGGGATAGTAGGTCTAACTGCCCTGTGGCTGCAGGGCGGACCAGCACGGCATGTGGACAGCACGGGACTGCGAGCTGGTGCACAGGAACGGGTCTCACGCCCGATGTCGCTGCAGCCGGACGGGCACCTTTGGGGTCCTTATGGATGCCTCCCCCCGTGAGGTGGGATTGTGTTCAGAGTCCTGAGGACGTGGGCAGGCCCAAGGGTCGGGGTGCCCAACACCCCAGGGACCGTCCCTGTCCCCACAGCGGCTGGAGGGCGACCTGGAGTTGCTGGCGGTGTTCACGCATGTGGTCATGGCAGTGTCCGTGGCTGCGCTGCTTCTGACCGCAGCTGTCCTGCTGAGCCTGCGCAGCCTCAAGTCCAACGTGCGTGGGATCCATGCCAACGTGGCGGCTGCCCTGGGCTTGGCGGAGCTCCTCTTCCTTCTGGGAATCCACAGGACCCACAACCAGGTGCAGGGTCAGGGCCAGGGGACCTGTGTCTTCATGACCTCCCCTGGCCCACCAAGTCCTGGAGCCAAAGCTCAGGGTCAGAGGTCAGGGAGGCTCCGGTGGGGGCCTGGGTTCGGGGCAGGATGCCAGGGTAAGGTGCTGTGGGTTAGGGGTCAGAGGCGGGGTGAGGCGGGAGCGGTGCTGACGCCCCCTACCCCTGCCTTCAGCTGGTGTGCACTGCGGTCGCCATCCTCCTGCACTACTTCTTCCTCAGCACCTTCGCGTGGCTCCTCGTGCAGGGCCTACACCTCTACCGCATGCAGGTGGAACCGCGCAACGTGGACCGCGGCGCCATGCGCTTCTACCACGCCCTGGGCTGGGGCGTCCCTGCTGTGCTGCTGGGTGAGGGCTCTGCGCCCCTGACTCCTGTCACCCGGCCCGACCCTCGTCCTGATCATTACCCTAACCTCAGTCCCCCATGCCGTGTGCTCGGGGAGGAGCCTGCTCCGTCCCCACCCCGCCCCCAGCTTCTCCCCGGGCATGAGAGGGGCAGCTGTTCTAGAACATACCCCTTCCGTCCTTCCTGTCCTCCCCTACAGGCCTTGCCGTCGGCCTGGATCCCGAGGGCTATGGGAACCCTGACTTCTGCTGGATCTCCATCCACGAGCCCCTCATCTGGAGCTTCGCGGGCCCTGTCGTCCTGGTCATCGTGGTGAGTGTGCTGTGCTCGAGGCCACCCGTGAGTGTTGCGGCAGGCGTGGTGGTGTCCCTGGAGGGATGCCAGGCGGCAGTCCACAGCCTTGCAGGGCTCCGCCCCAACTTCTGTCCTCCGCTCCCCTGGCACAGAGATGGGCGGCATCGGGTCAGAAACTCGGCTGCCTCTCTCTCTCTGTGAACCTCCTTCTCCATTTCTCAGTCCCTCCCTGGTTCCCTACCTGGGACTTCCTCTGTGTTCTAAGGGCCTCTCTGTTTCTGATTTCCTGACTGTGTGTGTGCACCCATGCGCGTGTATGTTTCTCCCTGGTTCTGCCTCTCTCTGTGTGTCTCGGTCTCTCTCTGTCCCTGTCTCTCTCTTTCTCTCACTGTCTCTGTCTCTCTCTGCCCCACCCCTGCTCCACATGTCTGGCTGCGGGCCCAGATGAACGGGACCATGCTTCTCCTCGCTGCCCGCACATCCTGCTCTGCGGGGCAGAGGGAGGCCAAGAAGACCTCTGTGTTGTGAGTTGGCTGGCTGGGGAAAGTGGGGGGTTCTTGGAACGGCAGTCCTCTCCTGGGCAGGCTGGACTCCAGATTCTGGGTATGGGGATGCAGTCCTACCTGCCCTGGCCTGTGGTCCCTCTCTGGTCCTACACGTGCTTCTGCCCTGCTGTCTCCACAGAGGCTCCCGTGGCCTGGGTGGCTCACTTTGCCCCCTACCCCCTGTGTCACCCCCCTGTCTTCCACATTTCTCTCACAGTCCCCGCCCCCCCCGCATCCCCTCATGACTCCCTAAGTATCCTCCTGGTTCATTCGGTGACCTCCCGTCTCCCCTCGTGTCCTCCTGAGACCGCCGTGTTCCTGTGTGATTTCCTACCCTTCCGTGTCCCCTGTGTGTCCCATACATGAGCCCCGCATGACGCTTGCGTGTCCCCTGTGTCCTCCCGTGTCCTGCAGCAGGAGCCTTCGCAGCTGCTTTCTGCTGCTTCTCCTGGTCAGTGCCTCCTGGCTCTTCGGCCTCCTGGCGGTCAACCACAGTGTCCTGACCTTCCACTACCTCCACGCCACGCTCTGCGGCCTCCAGGTAGCTGGCAGCCTGCCCTGCCCTGGGCCAGGTGGGGCTTCAGCCGGGTGGCCCCAACCCAGGCCCTCGAGCCCAGGTCTAGGGCTGACTCCTGCTGGCTGACTGATGACGGGCGGGCTGCTCATCCTGGGTTGACCTTCCCCAGCACTACGGCTCCTGGCCACTTGCTGGTCCACACTGACCTCCACCGACTTAGTGCCCTTCTGACCCCTCACTGCCTCCGACACTCTCCCTGACTCCCTTCCTGGGTCGGCCCTCACACGAACTTGCAATGCCTGACCACCCCCCCCCCCTTGCTGACCCACAGTGACATCTCCCAGCCCTGACTCACCCCCCTGGTGGCCCTCCTCTGACCTGTGACTCATTTCTGATCTCTCACTGACTTTCGCTTACCCCTCGTTGACCCCACACTGACCCTTTCGGGCACAGGGCCTGGTAGTTCTGCTGCTCTTCTGTGTCCTGAATGCAGATGCTCGGGCAGCCTGGACGCCGGCCTGTCTGGGCAGGAAGGCAGCGCCCGAGGAAGCGAGGCCGGCGCCTGGCATGGTAAGGTGCTCTCGGGGCTGGGGGGTCAGGGCGGGGGCCCTGGGAGGCCGGGGGCCGGAGGCCTCTGCAGAGCCGGCTCACACGCCTGTCTGCGCCCACCTCCTGCAGGGGCACGGGGCTTACAACAACACCGCCCTCTTTGAAGAGAGCGGCCTCATCCGCATCACCCTGGGTGCCTCCACTGTCTCCTCAGTGAGCAGTGCCCGCTCGGGCCGGACCCAGGACCAAGACAGCCAGCGGGGCCGAGGCTACCTCAGGTGAGCGGAGCAGCCTTCTCGGGAGGGGCAAGGGGACATACAGCTCAGACCAGTCCCACTCGACCAGAGGTTGGCATCACGGGTCCCGGGATGGTGGCTCTGCCCATCTTGGCACCTGGGCCCAGATGCCTCTTGCCACACACCCAGGGTGCCTTCAGAGCCATTCCACAGCAGTTGGCCTGGGTGCTCACAGATGCCCCAGCCTCCGAAGCACCCCATTACATCACGCTTTGATGATGGGGTGGGGCGCTCCTGCATTTCCAGGGACAATGTCCTGGTTCGACATGGCTCAGCTGCTGACCACACTGACCACAGCCTCCAGGCTCACGCTGGCCCCACTGACCTGGACGTGGCCATGTTCCATCGAGATGCTGGTGGAGGTAGGTGCCTGGGCCGGGGGTGGGAGGAGGCGGAGGGTCTCTCCCCCATTTCTCTTTCTTGAGAGCAGCAGCGCAGCAGCCGACTGTGGTGGGGCGAGCTCCCCCCAGGTCTCTGCCCCAGGAGGCACCTGGTTCTCCTGCCAAGTCCCAGCCATTCTGCACCGACCCCCACTCCAGGCTCTACCTAGGTCCCCAGCCCCAGCTCCCTGCTGTAGCCACTCCAAGACCTTCAGCTCCAGGCTCTTTGCTGACCCCCAAGTTCCTTGGCTCCCTGAGCCACTGATGTGCCTTCCCTCTTCTGACCTTCCCAACTCCAGCCGCAGACTCTGACTCCGACAGTGACCTGTCCTTGGAGGAGGAGAGAAGTCTGTCCATCCCATCCTCAGAGAGCGAGGACAATGGCCGAACCCGGGGACGTTTCCAGCGTCCACTCTGCCGCGCAGCCCAGAGTGAGAGGCTCCTCACTCACCCCAAAGGTGAGGGGATATTCTGACCCCCTGGGTGACCAAGAGACACCCCCTATTCCACCTGGGTGTGACCTAGGGACACTGATATCCCCTGAGGATTCCTGGGACTGACCTATTGGAAGCGTGGGGTCATCACTGGGTGCCCACACACCTCGCCCCATCCAGCTTCCTAGCAGTTCTGCTGGCTGGAGGCCCGGGAACAGCCTGGGCAACAAGGTCAAAGTCAGGGATGTTACGGGGTGACATGTCATTTCTCCGGCCCCTTTTCTTCCCTGAGGGTTAGGGTTCAGCCTTGGCTCTTCCAGGGTTCTTCTTGGCCCCTTAGCCACCAAGTTCCCCCACCCCTAGTATCTGTCTACCTCCAGAGTGGCAGGCTCACCAGTAATCTTCTCCATGGTTCCATTGATTTCTGAGAGACACCCGCTTATTCCTACCTCTGCTCAGTCAGAACAGCCAGGGTTTCAGGAGTCATTAGGATCAGGCTTGGGGGAGAGAGGGCAGTCACTGAGTCTGGATCATAGGGCTCATGAAACAGTGGGGTCAACTCGGAGGCTCCTGTAACCTGCTCTGGCTCCACAGATGTGGATGGCAATGACCTCCTGTCCTACTGGCCAGCCCTAGGGGAATGTGAGGCCACTCCCTGTGCTCTGCAGACCTGGGGCTCTGAAAGGCGCCTGGGGCTGGACACCAGCAAGGATGCAGCCAACAACAACCAGCCAGACCTGGCCCTGACCAGTGGAGATGAAACCTCCCTGGGTCGGGCCCAGCGTCAGAGGAAAGGTATGATCCCTGACTTTGACCTGTACTTCAGGGACCCCAGGGACTGCTTTTACCCCAACCCCGGGGATTCCTGCCCCTTTGACCCTGGCCCGCATTGCCACATCCTGGGGGCTGTCCCTCCTCTGATCTCAAGGGCGGGGGGGGTTGCCCCTACTCCTGCACCCATGGGGACAGACCCTGTCCTGACCGAGGATTACCGCCTCCCCACTCTGAGCCCTGTCCTGCTGCCACTGTGGAATCCCTAGGGGCTGCCTCTGCCCCTCTGCAAGGGGTTTCTGCCCCCAGCCCCATGTCACAGGGATCGCAGGGGCAGCTACCGCCCTAGACCCAGGGAGTGTCTGCCCCTGCCCCCACCCCATACATAGCCTAGCTCCCATGTGTTCCCCACACAGGCATCCTAAAGAACCGACTGCAGTACCCACTGGTGCCACAGACCCGAGGTGCCCCTGAGCTGTCCTGGCGCCGTGCAGCCACCTTGGGCCACCGTGCCGTGCCAGCTGCCTCCTATGGTCGCATCTATGCTGGAGGGGCCACAGGCAGCCTTTCGCAGCCAGCCAGCCGCTACTCCTCTCGAGAACAGCTGGACCTGCTCCTCCGGCGGCAACTGAGCCGTGAGCGACTGGAGGAGGCCCCTGCCCCTGTTCTGCGTCCCCTGAGTCGGCCGGGGTCCCAGGAATGCCTGGACGCCGCGCCAGGCCGCCTGGAGCCCAGGGATCGGGGCAGTACCCTCCCACGGAGGCAGCCACCCAGGGACTACCCTGGCGCCAGGGCCAGCCGCTTCGGGTCACGAGATGCTCTGGACCTAGGGGCACCCTGCGAGTGGTTGCGCACACTGCCCCTGCCCCACGGTGCCCGGGACCTTGACCCACAGCCCCCGCCTCTGCCCCTGTCTCCCCAGCGGCAACTCTCAAGGGACCCCCTCTTGCCATCCCGGCCCCTGGATTCCCTGTCCAGGAGATCGAACTCAGGGGAGCAGCTGGACCACATGCCTAGCCGGCACCCCTCACGAGAAGGCCTCGGGCCAGTCCCACAGCTGCTCAGAGTTAGGGAGGACCCAGCCAGTGGCCCTAGCCATGGCCCCTCCACAGAGCAGCTGGACATTCTTTCTTCTATCCTGGCCTCCTTCAACTCCTCAGCTCTCTCCTCCTCTGTGCAGTCCTCCAGCACGCCCTCGGGCCCTCACACCACTGCCACGCCTTCTGCCACAGCCTCTGCGCTTGGGCCCTCCACACCACGCTCTGCCACGTCCCACAGCATCTCGGAGCTGTCTCCAGACTCAGAGTAAGCAGGGTGTGGCCACCTGCCCCCACCCTCATCAGCTTAAGGCAACCTCCTGTGCACCCTGCCCTGTGTTTGGCCACATGTGGGTTGGCAGTGTGGGCTACCCGAGGGGGCCACAGGCAGGGAATGGTGGTGTGATTAGCAGGGACTTGCCACGTGTCTGATTGGTGCCAGCCACCCTCCCCTGCACCTCCCGGGCTAGGGAAGAGAGATACGTGCCTTCCAAAGGGCTTGAGCTAGTGGAGGGGGCGAGAGCAGGAGCCAAGGCCCAGAAGGAGGAGGTAACGTGGTACGGAAAGGGGCAGGGGGGCCGGGGGGCGGAGAGGAGGATTCATGGCTTGAGAGGCTTTGCTTAGGAGGTGGTAAGGGATAAGGAGAGGCCAGAAGTAGTGCCAGGATATGGGCATCTCATATGTCAGGCTGAAGAGCTAACTTTGAAAGTAAATCATTTACCCACTTATTTATTTAGTCAGTGTTAAGTTCCTCATGCCTGTGGGCACTGCGAGGTGGAGCACATAGGAACTGAGTTGGGACCTGGTGCATCTCAGGGGCCTGTGGGCCATCTGTAGCGTAGGGAGCTGCAGACGTACCTGGGAAGCAGCTGGATACACAGGAGTCCAAGAGGGAGTGGGGAGGAACCAGGGATTGCCAGGCTTTGGAAGCCAAGAGAAGAGTTGAGTTTCAAAAAGGATGAACAGCTAGGTCAGGCTCTGTGGAGGTCTGCAGGTTAAAAGGAGGCTTTGGGGGAAAGGGACCCCAGGAGTAGGGCAGGAGACCAATAGAACCCAAGCAGAGTCCGAGGAGGAGAAAGGAAGGAGGAGCAGGGAACTTAGGGCCTTGTGCCGGGGACTCTGGAAGGGTGCTGGATGCAGGGCTGAGGGAGAGCTATGAGTATTGCCTGGGCCCAACTGCAGCCTAGCCTTGGGGTCTAGCTGGTGGGGTGGGGGAGGGGTCCTGGGGGACTGTGCAGGGGTTCGGGCTCTGGGGTCACACTTGACCTCCCCGAGTCTCTGTTTCCATATCTGTAAAATGTGTCTGTAGTAACAGATGAGATGTGGAGATTTTTTGAGGCGACATCTGTCAAGTGCTAATGTAATATCTGTACTCAGCAGGTGCTCGCTGAGTGCCTAGAGAGGGGACAGGTGGTGACCAGGGGGCCTTGCTGATGAGTCTCAGGGTGCAGAAGGGGTGAAGGGGTCTAGATCCCCGGAATGGGTGTAAGGGGGCTGGGGACTGAAAGGAAAAGGTGATGGGGTTGGGGGGGGAGATGGCGGGGGCCCAGGCTGTGGGGGAGCCGAGAGCCCCCTGACTGAATTTTCTCAGCAACCACCTCTGACTGCCGCGTTCAACCCTGCAGAGTTCCCAGAAGCGAGGGGCACTCCTGAGGGGCAGACTCCCGGACTAGGAACGGCTGAGGGCCGTGGAGGATTTGAGCTAACAGAAGAGACTCCAGGAGTCAGGGGCTGATCCCAAGGCAGCCTCCCACCCACCCCCCAGCTCTCCTGTTGCTGCAGTGCTGAGGCTCCTCGCTCTGTCCATGAGCATGTGAGCATGCGTGTAACAGGTGCAGGGGGAGGGAACTGAAAGGAGGACTTTTATACGTTTTGTACCTTTGTAACCAGAGAGATATGCTTATGTTATTTTTCAGCTTTTCTGTCTCCCGGGGGTTCTGAGACTGGGCTGGAAGGGGAAGGGGACAGAGGGTAAGACGTGCAGTGTTTGGCCCCATTTGGGTCCCTGGCAAACGATATGCTCTTTCCTCTCATCTTCCTGGGGTAAATTCAGAGAGGAGGGGCAAATAGCCCCTGCCCATTGATCTGAATATCGTTAGGGCCCAAAGTACAGAATTGATCTTTGCGCTTTCTCAGATGCCCCAAGGGCCAAACTTCAGGGACTGGGGGTTGTCTTGGAAACAGGGGTCCTCTGACCTCCTCACGGGGCTTGCTCATGCTGCCCCTCCCCGTGGATGTGTGTGTTTCTTATGCGGAGTCCCTGCCACTTACTGCCTTATGACCTAGGACTGATGCTGTGGGGCGCTGGTGGAGCAGCATGTCATGTTTACAGAGCAAGGCTTCCCTTTCTCCCACGCGGAGGGGCTCAGGCCTCTATGCAGACATTCCTGCAGAGGGTGGACTAGGGGGGTCTTTGCCAGCCCCTGCTAAGAGCAAACGTTGTCTGTGGTGCCATCTGATTCCCCGACACTCCCCTGTGCTAGAATTTCTTCCTAGGGGTAGGCGGGGGAGCAAGGGGGAGCAGAAGTAAGAGAGTTGAAGACACAGAATGTAGGTGCCACTGCCTCCCATGTTTACAGGACCCTCCCTGGCCCTGGGCACCTGGGCTGCGGTAACTAGTTCCATCCTACTTCATTCCCTTATAAAGGGAGAAATGACTGTTAGGACCCTGTTCACAAAACTCTTTTATTACTTTGTCTGACGTCCAGAACTGGGGACTTTTAGATTTTGTTACTTTGTTTACAGGTCAAGATTTAAAACATGCTAAAACTGTGTTTACAACTTAAAACCTTGAACTTTTATACTTTGTTTACAGTTGAAAAAGTGGTTCCCCCCTCCCTTTGTTTACAAGTGAAAGATTGAGAAGGCCGGAGAGGGCCTGGAGGACCCTGGACATGGCCATCTTGAGAGGTTTCTGGCTCCTAACTCTCCCAGGCCAAAGGTCAGCCCTGAGCCCCCTGTTGAACAGCAGACCCAGAAGGCCTCCAGAGTAGGCATCCTCTTATGGCTAGGAACAATGGGTTGTGTAGGGTTGTAGGGGGTCTGTGCAGACACCCCCCTTCCCCCACACATACTCTTGGGAGGCAGTTTCCAAGGCGATTAAAAATTCTACTTTGCTGACTGGTGCCAAATCCTGCCAGCCAGGACTCCAGCTCTCCTTACCCAGAATGACCCCAGCCCTTGAAGGGTTGAGGGGCCCGCTCTGGGGAGAGGGGGGTGTCCTTGCTATGTCCTAGGTTCTATAGATGCCCCTCTCTGGCGGTCCCCTGCTCCAGCCCAGTGGTCCCTTTCCCCGTCTGTGTAAATTGTTCCGTGAAGCCGCGCTCTGTTTTGGGAATAAACTTCTATAGAAAATGGTTATTGCGTCTTTCTGTTTGGGAGTGGGAGTGGGGTGGGTAGCGTAGGAGGGTGGTTATGATTCAGACCAGGCTGACCTTTGGGAGAAATCTGAGCACTGACCCTCCCCCCTCAATAGTCAGCTATTTTTAGCCCATTTTGTCTGACATTTGGACCAAGTTCCCATCTCTTTCACCCTGAGTTCTGGCCTGGTGCTTTGTGATGGGGGGCCTGAAGTATGAGCACAGGTCCTGGGAGTAAGGCGCCAGGGAAATCCCTTCTCTCCTCAAGGTGTCAGCATGATGACTTGGTCTTCAGGGCCTGCAACTCTAACCTGGCATTTGCCCTGGCCAGGGCTCCAATCAACCTTAGGAACTGCCCTTGCCAACCCCTCAGCCCATTAACAGCACTGACCCCCACTAGCCTCTCGGACTTGCAGCTGGCCAGGACATCGTGTTCCTTCCCCGTTCAGGCAGAAGTCTTCGGGGCGAGATGCCAGGCTGTGCCCTGTAGGGGAGGGAAACCTCGCAGCTTCATTTCAGGTCTGGATGTCCAGAGTTGAAGGGAGGCCTTGAGCACCTTCGGTATCAGACACTGGTCTTTTTTTTTTTTTTTTTAAGATTTTATTTATTTATTTGAGACAGAGAGAATGAGAGACAGAGAGCATGAGAGGGAGGAGGGTCAGAGGGAGAAGCAGACTCCCTGCCGAGCAGGGAGCCCGATGCGGGACTCGATTCCGGGACTCCAGGATCATGACCTGAGCCGAAGGCAGTCGCTTAACCAACTGAGCCACCCAGGCGCCCCAGACACTGGTCTTAAGGGGAAAGCCTGAAGGCGCCGCCCTTAGTGGGAGGCAAAAGAGGCCCCTAGACCGGATACCCCAAGGAGAGCTAAGGCTCTGGTTACCAGCAGCGCCCCCAGGCAGCCCATTTGGGGGGTTTCCCTCCCCATCCCGCGGGGACCCTCCGAGAGAAGCCAGGACTTGGTATCCGCCCTGTCGTACCCAGGTACCCCGGCCACGGCCGTAGCCGAGCGGGGATCCTTAGTCCCAGTTGTGAAGTTCCAGGCCGCAGGGGAGGAAAGGGTTAAATCTTCCTCCCGGGGGCTCGCCCCTCCTGAAGAGTGTCCCTTAGGCCCCGCCCGAGCACGCTGATTGGCCCAAGCCTGCCCCGTCCTGTCCGGGGATTGGCCCCTTGGAGCCCCGCGTAGGTCCCCGGCTGCGCGCAGGAGCTCTAGGCGCCGCCGCCGCCACCTGGCAGGCAGCCTACTGGCCATGGGGCTGTTTGAAGCTTCGGGGTGAGTGCAGGGCACGGTTCCGGTTCTCCGCGTCCGTGTCCGCGAGCTGCCGCGTAGCCCCGGTGCAGGCGCCGGCTTGGGTTAGCTCGGAAGGGGCAGTCCGGAGCAGGCATCCTCCCCCTGCGACGCCTTGGTTTGCAGCTTTGCCGATTTTCTGCAGGCGGTTGCCCCCTGAAGCGAGGGATGGGGCGGGAGCCCGCGCTACCCCCGCCCCTGAGGGCTGTGCGGGAAGCCACTCGAGCGCTGCCCGCGGGCTAGCCTTGGGCCGCGGGAGGCGGCTGAGTGTGGAGGAGCCCCGGCCCAGGAGGTGAGCCGCTGGGCGCGTTGGGGCCGGGAGGTCGCCGCAAGGAGTCCATAGCGGTGGCCTGAGCCCACGCAGCTGTACCACTGACCGGGAATGAGGGGTCCGGCTGGAAGGACCGAGGTGCCCTCCCCGGGGAAGGGGCCAAGGATCTAGGCCCCGCCCTCCAAGCACGTGTCCTGGGGAGTGGGGGAGCCCTTTAAGAAGACCTGAGCGACTCACGGAGGAGGGGCAAGGGGGCTCAAAGATCTCTGTGACACCGCGGTGTCAAGAATCTCTGAGGATCTATTTGCCTTGCACCTACTCCACTCCCTTCTCTGACCAGTTCATCCAGGTTAGAGGTTCTTCCCAGGCGAGTTCCTACCCCTCGGGGGAGATCCTACCCCTAGGTCAGAGCCCACAGATCAGAACTTTCCTGAAAACTTTCCCAGCAGGGGAGAGTTTCCCCTCAGGGAAGACTCCTGCGCTGAGATCTATTTCCAGGTGAGAGCTTTCAACCATTTCGGGTGGGAGCCTCCCCCAGGTAAGATCTTCCCTTAGGTGAGAGTACCCTCCAGATGAGACCCTCCCTGGTTTTCCTGGCAGGTGAAAACTTTCCCCACTGGGAAAGCTTCCCTCCCAGTATGAGCTTCCTCGAATAAGAACTCCCTCCCAGCAGATCACCTATTCCCAAGGGAGGTCCCCTCTTTCCCCCCCCCCCCCCCCGGAGCCCGGATCCTTAGTCCCAGTTGTAAAGTTCCAGGCTGCAAGGGAGGAAGGGGTTAAATCCCCCCCGCGGGGCGGTGGGGGGGAGGTTCGCCTCTGGGTGGGAGCCTCTGGGTGGATAAGAGATTCTCTGAATACAGAACATGCCTGGCTGGTGCAAACTTTCCTGTCAGGTGAGAGCTTTCCCTCTGGGAGAAAGAGCACCTGGTAGTAGGAGCTCTGGAGGGGAAATCTTCCCACTTCAGGTGGGAGCTTGCCTTTCCAGGTGAGACCCCTTTCTCCAGGTGAGAGCCATTCCCTGGCTTTCCCAGATTAAGCCTGAGTTTGTCCACAGCCTGGATCCCCAGGCTGGAGGCCCAGGGGCAAACTTAGCCCCAATACTTTCCTTCTCTTAGAGGGGAGTCACTCTAAAGAGGAACCTGCCTGAAGGACTGGACCCCTGATTGCTGGGTCCCTTGTGCGAGTTCTCAGACAGCCAGCACTGAGCTCCTGGGGCAGCTGGATGAGGACTCAGAGACTGGACAGGGATTGTCCAGGGGAGGGGCTGGGGGGGACAGTCAGCCTGGGATGGGGACTGATAGAACACTCACAGGGGGGGCAGCTATACCTGGGTTGGAGGTATGGATTATATTTATCTTGCCATCCCTTCATAGGGGACTTTGGCCCACCGAGAGACTTCCTAGCCAAAGTTCAGGGATTTCCACTGGCTGGGCATGGGTCCAGCTCTCAGCTACCTAGATCTCAAGGCCTAGAAAAGTCAAGTGGGTGACTCTGATCCCAGGTGGAAGCATGGGGGAGGTTGGGCCAGGGGTACACTCACTGTGACTCTGGTCTCGCCACCCCAGACAGAGGGACACACAGGCACTGTTGCCTGTGACACAGGCCATGGAGCTGAGAAAGCGAGACTACCATGTGGAGCGGCCACTGATGAACCAGGAACAGTTGGAGGAGCTGGGGTGCTGGACCTCAGCAACCACGACCTACCAATGGCGAACCTGGTTTCAGTAAGGTGGAGGGTGGGGGTCTGGGGGTGCTGGCAGGACTTAGGTAGACCCTGTCCCCAATGCCTACTGTTGTGTCCCCAGGTGCTCCCGTGCTCGGGCCCGAGCCCTTCTGTTCCAGCACCTCCCGGTTTTGGCCTGGCTACCCCGGTACCCCTTGCGTGACTGGCTCCTGGGCGACTCGTTGGCTGGCCTGAGTGTGGCCATTATGCAGCTACCACAGGGTGAGCCATACCTGACCTGGAGGCTGTACCCTCAATCCTTGGGGGGCGATCTGCAATCCTTCAAGGCCCCGGCCCGGAAGCCCTGTGGGCTTGTGCACCCCCCATAATCTGAAGCTATGAGCGCTGCCCCTGGAACTATGGCCCATGACCTAGGGTTGGGATTCCCTCATCCTTTCCAAGGCCCCGGCCTCCAAGCCTCCATTGCTACCATTCCACTTCCAGGCCTAGCCTATGCCCTCCTGGCTGGACTGCCCCCCGTGTTTGGCCTCTACAGCTCTTTCTATCCTGTCTTTATCTACTTCCTGTTCGGCACTTCCCGGCACATCTCCGTGGGTGAGTGGAGCCAGGCTCAGCCTTGCAGGAGAATGTCCACCTTCCCCCAGGGAGGACAGGGCGAGGGAGGGCCGAGCGGGGCAAGGGAACTTAGGGAAGGGGACAGCACTGGTGCTGGGTCCAAGGTCATTTCCAGGCAGGACTAGGCCTCTGACGGTGGGGCCACAGATTCAGGATAACTCCAGGCCCTGGCTCCAGGAGGATGTGGGTGAGGCAACTTGAAGGGCCCAGAACTTGGCAGAGTCCTGACCAGCCTGAGGCAGGCCGTGCCCCCTTTCCCCATCTCACCTTCTACAAGGGGTGTGATTCTCAGCCGATAGACATGGGTGGGGCAGGGTAGGTGAGGCGGGCCGGCATTTCTGGCCTCCCTCAAGAGTCCCTGAGTTCAGGGTTCACACGTGATCACCAGCACTGCTTCTCTATGCCTGATGTAGTCTGAAGATACTTGTCTAGAACCAGCTATCTCCTGACCTCTCCCCTTAAGGGTAGGGCAGTGTCCTCTCCCCTGCAGACCTGCCCTGACCTACCTCTGCAGGCACCTTTGCTGTCATGTCTGTGATGGTGGGCAGTGTGACAGAATCCTTGGCCCCGAATGAGAACTTCCTGCAGGGTGTGAACTCCACCGTCGATGAGGTGGCCAGAGATGCCGTGCGGGTGCAGCTGGCCTCCACGCTCAGCGTCCTGGTCGGACTCTTCCAGGTGCGGAGCAGGCAGGAGGATGTGCCCCCCACCCCCCACCCCC